AGGGAGATCGGAGAGGGTTATAAGCTGTACTACTCCGGAAGCAGAACGGGAAGAAACGGCGTGGGTATCATCCTCGATGAAGAGCTCAAGCAAAGGGTGGTGGAAGTCCAAAGGCCCTCAGACAGGTTGATAACAATTAAGGTGCTAGCAGGAAAGAGTCTGATCAACATCGTGAGTGGTTACGCTCCACAGATTGGCTGTGAAGATCAAGAGAAGGAAGATTTCAGAGAACAACTTGAACAGAGTGTTAGAGAGATCCCTGAAGAAGAAGAAATCATCCTAGGAGCTGATCTGAACTGTCATGTAGGAGAAACAGCAGGAGGTTATGAAGCATGTCATGGCGGTTTTGGATACGGCCTGTGAAAAGAGGAAGGAGAGAAAATGCTAGAGACATTGGAGAGCTTGGAACTGGTCTTGGTAAACACCGGATTCAAGAAGAGAGATGAACATCTAACAACATACCGAAGTGGAGATAGCAGTTCCCAGATCGACTTCCTAGCGGTGAGGAAGAGAACCCGTAAAAACATGCAAAAGTGATTCCCGGTGAGGCAGTTGCTCACCAGCACAGACTGCTGGTCATGATGGGACATTCTCTAAGAAAAGGAAAGGAGAAAAACAGGAAAGAAGCTCTAGAAGATCAAGGTGTGGAAACTACGGGAATGTGCAGGAGAATACAGAAGGCAAGTGGGAGAGAGATTGAAGAGAGCGAAGAGAGAGACAACAACCGAAATGTGGAAGGCCTTGAAGGAAGTGGCAGAAAAGCTGTGTGGAAGAACAAGTGGGAAAGGAGCAGGAGAACGAGAAACATGGTGGTGGACAGAAGAGGTGCGGAAAAAGATAAAGGATAAGAAGAAAACTTTCAAGATGTGGCAGGATGACAAGGAGAGCCTGGAGAAAAGGAACCGGTACAAAGGGGCAAAGAGAGAGACAAAAAGGGCCGTAGCAGTAGCCAAAGAGGAAGCAGTTCGAGACTGGTACGCAGAGATGGAAACACCAGAGGGAGAAAAGAGAATTTATAAAGTGGCCAAGCAGCATGCAAGAGCAAATAGAGACATCCCAAAAGTGACTATGGTGAAGAGCGAGGACGGACAGATTCTGGCAGAGAAGAAAGAAGTGCCAAGGAGATGGAGAGAATATTTTGAACACCTATTGAATGTAGAGAACGAATGGGAAGAGCTAACAGAACTACCAGCAGTGGAAGGTCCGATACAGCAAGTAAGCTTGCAGGAGGTGTCAGCCGTCCTCAAGAAGAAGAAGAATAACAAGTCAGCAGGCACATCGGAGGTGGTGGTAGAGATGTTGGATGCCTTGGGGAGTAAAGGTGTGATGTGGACCCACGAAATCTTAAAAAAGATTTGGAATGGAGAGAACGTCCCAGAAGATTGGAGGACAAGTATACTAGTGCCAGTGTATAAACAGGAAGGCGATGTATTAGAATGTGGGAACCACCGTGGTATCAAGCTCTTGGAATACCGCTTGAAAGTTGAGGAAAAGATCCTCGACCAGAAGATCCGAGAAGTGGTGGATATAGGAAACATGCAGTTTGGCTTTAGACCGGAGAGAGGCACGACTGATGCTGTATTTATACTCAGGCAGCTTCAAGAGAAACATCTGGAAGGCGACAAGAAGCTATACCATGCCTTTGTTGACTTGGAAAAGGCATATGATAGGGTGCCCAGAGAGCTGGTCTACTGGTGTTTACGGAAGAAAGGAGTCCCAGAGTACCTCATTAACATCGTGAAGGATACCTATGAAGGTGTAACCACAATGGTCAGTACGCCACAGGGAAGATCGGAAGAATTTGCAGTGAAAGTCGGCCTTCACCAAGGATCAAGCAGCGTGGGCCAAGTGGCCAAGAACACCATCGATTTTCATAGCACTAGTAAAAAATACGTTTTTCCCGCCATTTCAAATCAGGCGCTAGCAGAGCCATCTATCGGCAGATATTTCACGAAAAACATAGAAAGTGGGCAAAGCATTTTCCCCATTTTTTGTTCTTTTTCCCGGCATTGGGATATATAAGGTCTCATCGCAGATGACTGCAGTCCACTCAGCAAGTTGCCAGATAATGAGATCCTGGTGGGGTGCATGTGCATTGGGCTTAGTATTTTGAGCAGTTGTATCAGGCTGATCCACCAACTTGGATGCGGGTAATGTTGAGACTGCCAGACCCACCCGTGAGCAAGGATCCACCCTCCCTGCCTGAAGTCAGGGGGGCGATTTCCAAGCTGTAGAGTGGTAAAGCAGCAGGTGTTTGTAGCATCCCAGCTGAATTGTTAAAGGCTGGTGGAGAACCTATGGCAAGGGGCTTGCATGCAGTCCTGTCTGCCATCTGGCAGACCGGTACCATTCCCCCTGACCTGCTGAGGGGTGTGGTTATCCCTCTCTGGAAGGGGACAGGGGATCGGTGGGACTGCAGCAATCACTGAGGCATTACACTACTCAGTATACCAGGCAAGGTACTTGTGCACATCCATACTGATATGTATCAGAGACCATCTACTGAGGCACCAGAGGCCGGGGCAATCTGGATTCACTCCTGGTAAGTCTACAATAGACCATATCCTGGTGCTTCGAGTCATTGTAAAGCTCCGTCATGAGTTCGGACGTGGGCTGCTCGCAATTTACATCGACCTCAAGAAGGTGTTTGATACGGTGCATCGCGAATTACTGGGAGATCGTGAGACTAAGAGGAATTCTAACAAGGATTATTGGATTAATAGCAAACTTGTAAACAGGCACTGAAAGAAAGACAGGTGGGGACCTGTCGAGCTTCTTCCCTGTTAGTTCAGGTGTGAGGCAAGGCTGTGTTCCTTCACCAACACTTTTCAACACTTGCATGGATTGGATACTGGGTAGAGCTACTGTCCAACGTCACTGTAGAACAACTCAGGGCAATATCAAGGTTACAAACCTTGATTTTGCTAATGATGTTGCTATTCTATCTGAATCTCTGGAAACCCTAGTGGCGGCTCTTGATGCATTTAGCAATGAAGTGAAGCCCCTGGGGCTAGAGGTCTCTTGGACAAAGACCGAGATCCAGGATTTTGGGAGCCTACTAGGAGACCCTGTGCTGTCGATACATGCTAGTAGTGAAAACATCGAGTTCACAGAGAACTTTATATACCTCAGTAGTGCAGTTCATAACTCTGGGCTGTCAGGCCAGGAAGTCAGTAGATGGATTGGCCTGGCACCAGGGGTCATGAAAGCTCTCGACAAGAGTATTTGGTGATGCCGGTATAAAAGGACCAAGCTACGTGTCTTCAAGGCCTTGACATTGCCAGTTTTACTATATGGTAATGAAACCTGGACGCTGTCTTGTGCTTTGGAATATTGTCTTGATGCCTTTTGTAACAGATCCTTGTGCTGGATCATGGGGTACAGTTGGTGGGACCATGTGTCCAACCAACGGTTGCACCGTGAGACAGGACCTGTTATTTGCACAATCCGCAATCACCAACTCAGGCTACACGATTCCCTCAGATGACACCGTGAGTACTTGTTTGATTGTTTTTACGCATAGATGGCAATACTTGTACTAACTCCCCAATGAGCCAGTTACGAACACCGCCCGCCTCGCCCGTTTACTCGTTTCTTTGATATACAAAATAATTTACGTAAACTTTTAAATTGTTTAAACTGCTGTTACTAATGTTAAAAAATTATAAAAATTATAATGTTTATGATAACACCAATAACACCATCGATTTTCATAGCACTAGTCAGAAATACGTTTTTCCCGCCATTTCAAATCAGGCGCTAGCAGAGCCATCTATCGACATACATTTCACGAAAAACATAGAAAGTGGGCACAATATTTTCCCCATTTTTTGTTAATTTTCCCCGGCACCATTGGGATATACGTATATATATATATATATATATATATATATATATATATATATATATATATATATACACACATGTATATATACATATATATACTATATATATATATATATATATATATATATATATATATATATATATATATATATATACTATATATATATATATATATATATATATATATATATATATATATATATATATGTGTGTGTGTGTGTGTGTGTGTGTATGTGTGTATATATATACATATATGTTTATATATATATATATATATATATATATATATATATATATATATATATATATGAATATATACATATATATATATATATATATATATATATATATATATATATATATATATATATATATATATACACATATGTGTGTGTGTGTGTGTGTGTGTACTCATTTACATATAAGTATGTACATTTATATGTATGTGTATGTATGTGAATAAGTACTTTAGATATATAGATAGATATAAAAGCGATGATACAATGCAGTTTAATGAGGCTTGTTTGGTCTAAACTGGAAAAGAATAGATATAAGCTGCCTCAGGTACGTGCGCGCAAGAGCTGTATATTTATCAGAGGAGTGAGTTTGCTAAAACTCGTGACACTTACAAAGTATTGTGCATATTCATCGTGGATTATCTTAGCTTAAAAGCCTTTAGTTTCTGTAGGAAGACGGAAGGCTGAGGTGCTCCATAAAATATCTTTCTATACTATGACCATTCATTGTAAAAGAAAGGATATTAATGTAATTGTCGTTTTGTGCGTTTTATAGAATTCCGTATATTTTCACTCTCATTCCATCAAACAGCGCATCAGATAGCTTAGCATCTAAAATACTTCTGGACTGCTCAGGATATCTTTTAGAATGTAATATTCGCACAATCTTCACTTTACCAAAATATTATTTTCATTCCCAGCATTTTTTATTTTTGTTGTTATCCTGCCGCTGATGTTGAAACTGTTCCCATACCCATATAGTAAGGATAATTGCTTTACCTTACTATTTGCACTTTGATGCAATATATGTTATAGTTCCACGACACTTTCATTATAATTTTACTATTATAGTTTTGATTTTTAATTACACGTCAAATTCAAAAGATGTTCTCCCTTCCCCAACAGTTCGTAAAGATGCCGTCCCACTGAGTGTTTGTTTACACAGCTGATCGTCTGTCACGGGATGTCGCTACTATGAAGGAGGCACAAGTCTGCTGTCATATCTTCTGAAACTAAAAGTACGTTGTGAAATGGAAACTAGTTTTTTTCTTAAGGCTGGGGCTATGTGAAAAAGAACGTTAGTTGAGCTGACTGACGTGGCTCCTTGCGGCTTACTGGAGGGGAACCTCCTTCCACCTTCCTCAGCCAAGGTTGAAGTTACACCTGTTAACGGCTTCGTCTCAAGGATAGTTCTAGGAATAGAGTTTCACGCCAAGAAGTACAACATTTTTCTCCTATACTAATGAATTTAGAGTTCTGTGATTCCGGTATTTGCCCAGGAGTTTTATTTATTATGGGAAAACTATAACCATCTATTTCTAGGATTTTAATTTTCAGAAGCAAAGTTTGCATTACGTCATTCGAAAGTGGTGTATTAGTTGCTGTGAACAGAATATTGTTAATATGCGTGAATATATAGAGAAGCAGTTATACTGGCAATTGCCTTATATAAAAACAACAGTATTTGATGTAGAATATTATCTGCAGAGTCAAGGTCATCACAAGATTGTTGATCAAATAGGTATTAGTTGAGAATATTTGTACATCACAGATGACATTAATATTGGTACTAATGAATTCTCTCATCATCATGTATTCATATTTGTAGTAATTATGCCACAGAAATCCCTCTAATGCCCTTATACTTGGCCCTGATTATATAGTAGGGCAAGACATAAAATGTGTAAGATGACTTTTATACATATGCAGGGTGCTCCTCCCCCCAACCACCACTGTGGATGAAATAATCCACTACATATACATGGTAAGATGGAATGAAAGATAACTAAAGAAAATATAAGGTGAAAGTATAACAATCTACCTATGTTGTATAGGGGGATCCTTTCCCTGTGAAATTGCAAAGTGACTAGGAACACCCTTTACATTGCCATCTTTATGTGTATTAGTAGGTATCCAGCAGGCTCCTGTTATGTTGGTGTGGACCTTTTATAAAAGATCATCCTCAGGAGGGAAACTCCTACTTTCCTGGTTAACATGTGATTATACATGACATTTAGTGTCAGGTACTTGTATTATCTGCCCTTCATTCCTGGCTCCATCACTTCCTCCTCAAGGAAGGTCAACTTCATCATATCCTCGTGACCTACACATTTTGGAAGTGTTTCCTAGTAGTGTGCTCGAGTCTTTTCCTTTATGCAGAAGGCTGTGCCTCCTTTATTATACCATATAGTATGCCTCCTCTTGTCAAAAATTAATGTATACCCCTCCTTGTGATTGGTTCTAGACTGCATCCTGATATGAATACATGGAGGATGTTTGACTTCCAGGGCAAAGGCTAGGGGATGCCAACCCCCATAGCATCATTTACTTATACAGGTATTTCATTTGTACACCTCATTTTTTCCTTCCCGTTTTACTTCTCATTTTTTTTTTGTTTCCATCCTATAAGTTCTTCCTATGTGAATAGTAGAACATGAGAAGAGTCCATCAGTACTACGACTACTGTCATGTACAA